TATATATATATTTGCCACGTTGCTGGTGGCTGATGTTAAAGTAGAATGAGATCGTCGCATCTGCGACGACAACGACGACGACAATTATAAACCTTCTTGTACCTGTCTCGCGCTGAGCAATAATTGCACGTGCAATTATGGCATTTTTTCTACTCTGCATCTAATTTGTCGGACTTTAGTAAGCGCAAGTTTTTATATATTATACCGACAATAATTATAACTAAATTTTTGGTATTTCTCTACAAGTTTTGAGACCAAGTGAATAATAGGATGCAATAAGCAAAGGAAGAATATAAAGTAAATCAATCGCTTATTCACGAATTTCGCATTGACGTTTTCATTTTGGCGAATATTAAATTGTGATATTTTATGAATCGCTGACAAGCCTCTGGCAAATTAATTAGTTCCGGTAAAATGAATTCGATGAAAAAAAGCGAAAATTATGAAGATCTCGTATATTGCGTGCAATTAGAGCGTGCTTTATTTTGCGAGTCTTACATTGCTAGAATTGTAATAATTTTGTGAAACTAATTGCACTTGCACGCGCACTTATTTCCCAGTGAAATGCGAACATTAATCCTAAATCGTGATCACGAAATGATCATGAATGTTGTGACTCAGACCGAAATTGTACAAAGTGTGAAATCGTACAAAATCAAAAGATGATCCTTCTGCCCTTTCGTTGTTCCCGAGATAAAATATGCGTTTGAATAAGATAGAAAAATATGTAAAGCATGCTCTGAAGAGAAATTTTGTAACGATTTTTCGATTTGGGTGTATTTAATAATATAATAGTTATATACCGGGAAGGAGAAAGGGTCGAGATTTTGTCTATTCTCGCATCTGTAATGAATTTCTTATCAATTCTTCGACAAGTTTAACCGTTTGACAAAAAAAAACCATAATAGCATTTTGCTAAAGCGATAAGTTTCAAAAGACGATTTTGGAAATTCACTCTTTTTGAAGAAATATTATTCGTTTTCGTTCATATCATGGCTTTGCAGCGCGTGAAAATATCCGAAGGAAGTAAACTCGTCATTGACGTTAAACCTCTTGTAATTTATGATTTCGTGAAAACTGGCTTTTAGAGATGAGTGGAAATGGCTTTTAGGTAAATGAAGAAATTACCAGTAAATCAGTCGACTGATAATTGATAGAATGATTTAAGATTCTTTCTTTTGACGAATGAGCTGCCTTTTTGCGCGTAATCTATTTTTTTGTTTTTGTTTTGTTTATAAATCAAGATCAATGTGGAACATTTTTTGTTTTTCTTTTTTAGGTCGGTGACTTGCTTGCGAGTCTCTTGTTGCTGTTAAAAGGAAGAAAATTATTTGAGGAAAGCTCTGGGAACAACATTAACGATTGGTTTCCTAGATTATTCGGTATACGTGTGCGTGGATCAAGTGAATGTGTGTCTAAATATGTAAATAATTGCACAGAATGACACGTTCTAAGAACGTTCTGCAGAAAAAATAGTATATAAAGACAAAAATTGTATGTATATACATATATATATATACATATATGACAAATTGAGTTTGAGAGATTTTACTGAATCGACGTACGAGAAAAAATAAAAAATGATTTAATTATAAACCTTTTGATTTTATTCTACCAGAGCGTTATTACATGCGTTATTTTCTGTTAGCTTCAGTTTATTTATTTAATTGCTAAAGAAATTCTTAATTCTAATAAACTATAAATTGATAATGATTTTTTTCACATGTCAGATCACTGTTAGATCATCAAACTCAAAATTGGACAATCGCATTTTTAATGCTAAATGTGTAAAAGCATCAATGTAGACTTTGTTCCTATTTTACCCTATGGTGATTTATTATGCAATAATTCTCTCATTTTATAGTAGGCTAAACAAAATCATGCATCAAAGAGTTTGTTTTAAATCAACAATAATTTAGAGTTTTTTTTTTTAAATCATAATTGAGAAATCACACTTTCCGTGTAAACGAGATTATACAGGGTGTCTATAAAGTCTGTCCCGTCCCCCTATATTTCGGAAACGGCTCAAAATTATGAAAAATCGCGAAAGACGTGTTCGATCATTTCGAAGGGCTACTCTTTTAAGAGGATTGGATGAGTTGTCTCCCTAAGGAGGTGCCCCAGGAGAAACTTTTCGGCTTTAAGTCCTTTCCATAAAAAAATTCAGATTTAAACTTGGTTTTTTTTTTAAGAATACACAAAAAACTTGAATTCAAGATGACGCCAAATTTTTTTTTATATAAAACCTTCGGTTTGGGCCAAAAATTTTCTTTTTTTATGCCCTTTCAAACGATATACTACAATATAGGGAGTTCCATTTGGTTCCCCCTGGGGCACCTCCTTAAGAAGACAACTCCACCAACCAAATATTTCGCGGTTTTCCATTTTGAGCAGTTTCCGAAATATAAGGGGTGAGGACAAACTTTATAGACACCCTGTATACTCCACAAATTAATTAAAAAATAATAAATTGAACGGATAATCTATATCGAGGAATCATTAATGTCAGCTCCGAATGAAATCTCTGGTTTTACATGTTTATTTAAAGCTTCCGCAATACAATTCATTAATCATCGTTTGCACAACCTTACATTTCCCCTTAGGGCGGGTGAGTGATAAAGGATAAACCGCATCCTTTCGTGCCGAAAGTCCGACAGAAGATACCGCTCGTTCCCTCTTCTTTTTTTTTTTTTTTTTAAATTTCACAACCTTTTCGCGTACTCTCTCGTTACGTGGAGCACACACCGTTTCTCGATCGCACACCGTTGTTTTCCGATTTTCTGCGCGAAATTACAATGCTGGCATTGGAAGATTATCGCTCTCTCTGCCATCGACGACGCAATGTTTAATATAATTATATATAAAATAGAATATTTCGGAAATAACGCGCGCGTTCACAGATCTGTACAACTATATATATATATATATATATCTTTATATGCACCTATATAAATGTACATATACTGTATCAATTCTGTGTGTACTTAATAATTAATACGCTTACACGGCGCACTACGCGGATGAGTATTTAGGACAGCGCGACTGATCGTCCGTGCGAATGTGGATTATGATACATTCTGAATAGATCCGATCTTGTGCGGATAATAACGAATTTTAATCCTTCGTCTTTCAATGATCTCTATAAGGTCCTTAGAATGTACACAAATTTACGAAGAAAAATCCTCGAAATTTACATGGGTCTTTTGAAGGAACTTTGAATCTCGACGTTTATTTTAAAGGAAATTTTCAAGAGTCCACAGGCTATCTATTGAAAATCAGAAGATTAATTTCGGATTATTGGATCTTGGAAAATCGTTGAAATTCCACGAGCAATTTTATTCAACGGAAACATCTGTTGGATCCTTGAAGTTCGCTGGTTTTATGGATGTTTGACTTCGTATATTTTTTCGATTCACGTATTCGTGTTTTTTCTTAGATTCTTGTTTTAGCAGCATTACAAGATTTTTTATTCCTACAGAGAACCTGCATTTCGTTAAATTTTTGCTATATACTGTCGATTCTCGAACATATAGATCTACGTAGAAAAATAGAGAGAAAGAGAAACGCGACAGACAGGTAATAGCTGTATCGATGGATACTGCGAAATAACAAAAAGTCGATTGCATTGCGTACAATGACGAGACTAACATGACAAGAAAAGACTCTGAGATTCAACAAATTGGTTGCGTCGTATCGTCGATGTGTTTGCTTAATAATCAATCGACGAATATCTTTTTTCTCTGGTCAAGAGGAGCACTCGTGCGATCTTCCTGCCAATCGATGGCGTATACACAGTAGTATATCTAAGCCCTTGCTTATATGCTTCGTTTACGATATACAACAAGAGAAAATGTATGCACATAAAAGAGGTCTTAGATTTCCACCCTCTCGTTACACGCAAAAAGTACCGTTACGTTATTCTAGTCCAGAAACGAACACAAGAGAATGAGATAACGAAGAGATCATTGTTTTTTATGAAGTCAAAATCTCTCAAATACAAAACTACGTTTATTATACGTCTTATAATATTGCGTATGTGTGTGTTTTATATAATCTATTTTAGTTATAAGCTAGACACTTAATTTCATCATTTATTCTATTAATCTACAAATCCTTAATTTCTTAGATCCTACGTTCTCCTCTAGCAACGTACAGATATCTTTTTTACATATTAAAAGCTTTACACGCACAGTTAAATTTATGAAAATGAAACCATTATTTATGTAAATTTTTGCTTTTGCATCTTCGTTAGAAATTGTCCGATTTAGAGATGTTTGTATTCTTATTTATATGACTGTCTTGAACTTCATATAAAACAATACGATCCCTGCCTTACCCCATTTACATACTTCTGCGATGATTACTAAGCACGTCAATGTCGATATCGTTACAACACTCATATTATCTATACATTTTGATTAATATCGTAATCATTATCTCTGACCAAAAACAATCTATCGAGAGTATATAAATGTCTTTTCAACCAGTTATAAAAGTTTGCGACATGCGTCTGCAACTCTTCCCGTGCGTGAATACGTACATTTTTTTTCCCGAAACAAATTTTAATCTTCTCTACTTCTCCTAAGTAATTTTACTTTACTTCTTCTTCCCCTTCCCCTTACTTATGATAAATAATATATTATTATATTAGGACGTTTTCTCACATTCATTCACTAATCAGTTTTGGCATAGGAACCTTCTTAACGTACGCATCGTCGTTGAGCTCCGTTTCTCTAATTAACAATTCTAATACTGTTCGTTCAGCTGATACAGATACGCGCGTGATCGATTTCATCATCTTGCGGGTATGTTCCATGACGCGAGACCACGCCTCGTAAAATGTCTCTATAAAAATGTATATAAAGTTCGAATTAATACGTAATTACAGATTGTATATATACAAATGTGTATACAGTCTCGTCATGGAATGTGTGATATATACGACAATATATTATATTTAGATTAAATAATCTTATGATCTCGGCTTTTCTCCTCTTATAACTATGTTATGCAATAATAAGGTTTAAAAAATAATAATAATAATTAAAGAATTTATCCATTTACAAATCCATGATACGATTCGTGTGTCAATGCACGCATATATAGATCCTTAGATTCCGAAAATTTGCAAATTCTTCGCAATTTCAAGAATTCGTAATTCTTGCGCTTCTCCGGATCGATAAATGCAGTCGTATCTGGATCCGTAAGATGTTGATTTCACAAATTCTTACGTATTTAAACATCTTTGATTCTATTTACGATTCTCCAGGGATTTTTGTTTTCGAATGTCCCCGGATTCGTGAATCCAATACTCATGTAATATAAAATTCCCGCGCGACGGAATATTAAAATTATAATTATTTTATACGTCTGCATTTGATAGATTCTATATATATTATGTATTTATCGTGCGGGAAAAGCTTCCGTATAGATCTGATATCGCTGTGCACGTTATCAATTAATAATGCGCGCGTGCGATGAGATCAATAAAAAAAAATAAAAATAAAAAAAAAAATAAAAAAAAAAACAGAAGCGATAAAATTATAAGTGATATATCAGAGATGTTGCAATTATAGTAAAGTACGTATTTCGTTAAAATTTACGTTATAACCCGATTACGTTATATCTCGTTTGTTATATTTAGCAAAAGTTAAAACTGCGCCCTAAAAAGAAAAAGTTCGTCTATTAAATCTGATGAGCTATTATATAATTTCCCAGGATCATTAATTAAATCCAGATTCTACTATAGCTATCTTAATTTGTGATAGAATGCACTCAAACATCGGAGACTCTCATCAACGACGTTCCGGAAGAGTTCAGCGACGAAAAGATCGGTGCTCGTGATGTGGAACTCGAAGACCGTCGAGATCGAGATTCCACTGTGACGCGGGCTCAGTTCGTCGCGTGGCTATTTCTACGCCTTAGGAACACTCGGCTATTGACAGGGTAGACTCTGGTCAAGAGTATGAGCGAGCTGCCCAGAGCCAGTTTGACGGGCGCTTGGCGGCCGCCGGGTAACCTAATGAATACCGTCGCGACCGCGGCGACGCTGTCGTCGGTAGGCTCGACGGCGACCGGTCTCACATCGCTATGAAAATTGACATGCTTGCCGCGTCTGCCCTTGCGCTGCGGCGAGCTCGGGCTGCACTCGCCGCCGTCCCGGTCGTAGATTATTGTTGCCGAGGCGAACGGCCGCTTTGCCATGTGCAGCATTTCGACGACGTGGCGACGCCGGGCGCGGCGCACATCCGCTGCCTGCTTCGTCTTCCATGCGACCACGCATGCCGCCAAGAATAGGAAGAAGCAGGAAAAGAAACACGAGAAGAAGACGAACAAATCGATGTGCAGCTGATCCTGTCGAAAGAAAATCATCCCGTAGGCAGCACGGCCGTTCAGTTCTGGATTCGACGGTTCGATCGCACGTAGCGCGATGTGAAACTTGGTCTGGCCGAGCTCGTGTTTGTCCTGTGGCAATGTCAGCACCAATCGATTCGTCAGATTACGTATCATTAGGAACGTGTTTCGTCTGTCGATCGTCATGAAGGTGGCCAAGTTCTCCGCGTAGCGCTCCATCACGAAATACTGCGGCCCGGTATCCCACGTCGGCTCCGTGGTGGTGCCGTTCACCGCGCCGAAACCGTGAGAATGAAATTCGACGATTTGAACCTTGCTGTTGGGCTGTCCCTCCAACCATATATCGGAATGATCGGATCGCCACCTGAATCTGCTGTCCAGCTCGACCTGCAGGTATTATGACAGTGCTTTAACTTTTTTCGATAAATGATAGATGAATAGGGATGATAGTAAAAAATGGAAAAAATAGACTCGACGATTCGACGAATTTGATATTAATTTTCATTGAAATAGACAAGAATAGTTCGTCAATGAAAAGATTAAATAAAAGAAAATATCGTACGTCTTGATATCCGGTCGATGAATTCAAAGTGACTACGAAGGAATCGTCCCGAGGACTCAGGAACAAATCCAAGGCGCCTTGAGTGACGTCCACCATCACTCTGATGTCTACGTTCATAAATCGGGGCTGCACCATGTAGAAAACAGTCTGGCCGGGGTTTAAGGGTTTCGGCTTCATTTTACACTCGTCTGAAATAAGATAACAGTATGTATTAGCTTAATCTTTCACACACGGCTGCTAAAATGATATCAAACTGCTTACAGTAGAAGAGAAGTACGAACCGTAAGATAGCTGCACGTAAAACAAAATATTGCAATTTAAGAACAATTATTATTGATCAAAGCGTCGAATGCGCATGCATATATATTGCGAATAAAAAGAAGAAATAATATAAAAACAGAAACATTGTGCTGCAGCTGCCAGAGTTATAAGAAAAATATATTAAAAGATAGTCCAGCGATTCTTTCGCGTTATAGATATATTATTTATCGTTACGCAAACAACTAGTCTCTCGCTCTTGTATTTTCTATTGTTATTACCTATCAATTTCGAATCGAAGCACATTTTGTTGTCAACCGTGACGGTTTTGTAGCACTGATGGCCCATCGTCGGCGTACCAGCGTAGTTCTCCCTGCATTTGCTGCACTGCACCTTCCAGCATGGCATGCCGCCCGTGTTAGTGCCTTTCATGGGACCGCTGATGCAGGACGGCTCGCTTTCCGTATTGTTACCGCAGTTGCATTTTTCGCCGGTCACGGGATCGCACGTGAAGCCGTGACCGTGGCATTCGCACGATCGGCACACGTCACGCAGATCCTCCGTGCCGCGGAAGTAACCGGTCACGCACTCGCCGCATTTGTCGCCCATAGTGTTGTTGTCGCAATTGATGCATTTGGCCTTGGCCACCGGTCCCTCGACCAGCTGCTTGGTCAACATCTCTATCGACATCTTTTTGACCGAGTTGGGATCGGGCACGGTCATGCTGTCATTGATGCAGATTCGCGTGTGCCCATTGCAATATTCGAGACACGGCACACATTGACCATTGTCCGCAGGATTGCCGACGTACAACGGCATGCATTTCTCGCATTGCTGTCCCATTGTGTTATTATGGCACTTTGTGCACACATCGAGCTTGTCTGGGCCCAAGCAATCGCTGTGGCCGTTGCACTGACACTGAATGGAACAGTTGGCGCCCACGTAGCCAAAATCGCAACGGCACGAGTCTGGTTCCACGCACGTGCCTCTCACGCAACCTTGCGTGCACATTGGCACACAGATCTTTTTACCGAAATCGCTGCCCCAGGTAGTCTCGGTCTTGTATCCGTCCCCGCATTTGCACTCAAAACCCTCCTCCAGATCGAAACACTTCTCGCTCTTCGGTGAACAAGTGTGATGTCCGTTTTCACATTCGTTCTCTGGCGGGCAGCGGACATAATGCCACGAAAACTCTGGTGTTGTCGCGTGATTAGATAATGACAACGACAACGTTACGTTGTTTTCTTGTGATTCTAAAGAGTCTGCGGGATGCAATGTTGTGGTGGTAATCGGCGCTTCGGTTCCCGGGAAATGTTGATGGTAGAGCATCTCGCAGGTGCCGCCTGCTGGATGATCGGTTGGCGCTTCCAGCGATCCTTCCGTGCATATCCCTTGACCGGTTACGTCGGCAGAGTCTAGGGAGCACCAGCCGCAGTGCGAGTGTTTCAGACAGGTGCTGCACTGCTTGAAAACCGAGCACGGCTCTGGGCAATGGTCCATATCCGCGCTACGTAAAACCAAACCGCAAACGCCGCCGGCGCAGTAGAGTGGCTGATACGACGGTGAGATGCATTCGTTCAATCGCGTGGACCATCTACATTCGCTCCATCCGCCTTCAGCCCCGGTACCCTTCAAGCAGCTCCTGCAGTCTTTATGCTCGGAGCATCTTTTCTCGCATTGCGTGCTGCTCATCTTGATGCTGGATCGCTCAAAGATACTGTCTGACACACAGTTCCAATCGTAAACGGGTTCTCCTGTCAACTTTGGTCCCAGCTCGGTCTTCAGCACCTGCCTTGTCCACACGCAATCGGTGAGACTGTTGCATTTCTCGCAATCACTCGCTGGACACTTGCGTTCCTTGCATTGATTCACATTGGTAACCGACACGGTGCATGACGATTTATCTGGCCCTTGCGTTTGTTCATCGCAGTCCCGGTCGAATGGAATGCATTTGGATGAGATATCGTGCGGACAGTTGGTGCACCATTTGCAGACCGGCTTGTCTTCCTTGTAATACGGCCATTCCGCCAAGCATTCTGTGCAAGTGTTGAAGCTTTGACATTTTCTGCCAGCCATCCAGTCCGAGTTACAGAATATTCCGTTTGATCGTTGCGCTTGAATGACGTTAATATCGCATTTATCATCACGGTTGCTCGAGATCTCATTCGAGAAGCAGAACGAGTCGTTAATGCCGACAATGGTGATGACAGCACAGAAAGAGCAGCCGAAGTATTTTCTGCATGTGATCTTGTCTGTCCACAATTTGCATAGATCCTCCGGTACGCTGATCAATGTGACGTGACTCTTTATACCGCCATCAAAGCCGCCGACGACGTAAATGGCATTCGATTCTGGATCGGCGTGGGTCATCGCGTGAGCGTAGGCCGGCGGTGGTGGACTGCCAATCGTTTCCATGTCTCTCGTTATCAAACGTATCCACAGATTGCACGAGTACTTGTATGCTATTAGCGAGTCCGAGGTGTTATGAGGATTTTGCCGGCCGCCGAATATCACCATATATTCGTCTGTCGTGACCGCGGAATGCAAGAATCTAGCTTGTGGCAAGTTGCTGCCATCAGTAAAATCATCCTCAAATGGCGGCAATACGGACCACGTCCGTGTCTTGTAATCCAGGGCGTACAACTTGTTCGAAATGAATGTCCTGTTCACCGCGTACGTGTAGCCACCAAAGATGTAGAAGCTATCCGACTTGCCATGATACACTGTAGAATGGCCGTAAACACCCAAAGGTCCATTCCCTTCGGTATTCACCGTGTCCCAAGTTTCCGTTTCCAGATTAAATTCCCAAACGGTATCCAGGTATCCGTACTTGGGGCTGAAACCACCAATTAAAATCAAACTCTCCGACTCTCCATCTCTGCGTAGAGTCAGCGTATGACCGGCTAGTGGCAACGGTTCCTTCTTAGACTCATCCTGCACGATCTGGCTCCATCGCTGATTCTGCAGACTAAACTTCCAAAAGTCGCTAAGAGTGTTATTCGATAATCCCTGCACATCCTCGTCTTTCATCGATAGACCGCCATATACATAGATCTGCTGCCTACTGTGCACGATTTCAGCGGCGTGGAAGTAGCGGCCCTGCGGCATAGACGCCTCTGAAGTAGATTCGACCGTCACTGGCATCCATGTATTGTTTTTCGTATCAAAGAGCCTGATGTCGTTCAAGGGTCCGTGGCTAAGCGAGTAGCCGCCAAACATCCACAGACTGCCGCGTCGATCGGCCACCAGACTATGTCCAAAGCGCGGCAGCGTTTTCCTCAAATGATCCAGATGATCGGCCAGATATTCCGAATTGAATAGCTCCGTGAAGATCAACTGATGATCCTTGAGCCGGACGGAACAGTCGCGACCGCCGTAGTCCGATATGCAAACGCAACGGCCGTATCCTTTGTCGCAGACACCGCGTTTTTTCGAGGCAGTGCAATTGTTCGGGCATATCTCCACATCGCAATTGATACCAACATATCCGGATTTGCAAAGGCAGTTGCCGTTTCGGCACTCGCGATTTCCCGGACAGTTATTGCATGTCATCACCACGTAGCTTGCATTGAAGCCCTCGACTTCATCTAATTGTTTGTAGTGCACCGTCAGAAAGCCGGACTTGGCCTCCACCGTCACCGGATAGTCGGTGCTCTCCGTACAATAAACGCCCAGTAACTGGCTCTGGTGGCCACCGGTGGATGAGACAAACTCCGGCAAACCGTCATACACGTACACGCTGTTTTCCTGGCAGCTCACGTTGATGTCGTGAATAGTGAACTGTAGCACGCTCTGAATTACTGGTGTAGTCGCGTCCGACGAAAGATTCGTCTCGGGACTGACGATCCAGAGACACTCTCTTGTCGGCGAATCGCCTGCATGGCTTCCCCAGAGCGACGATTGGGAATGTCGGCTACCGAGACCCTGCTTGCCGTTTCCTACGCCACCCAGCATACCCCGCGACATGCAGCCATAATAGCACATTCCGCCGTCGCGCGGATCACCGTAGTAGCCGCGTTTGCAACGCTGGCATTTATCGTCCTCGGTGTTATCACGGCAGAAACACATCCCGGTCTGCCGATCACACACGCCAAGTTCAATGTCACCGTGTCCGTTGCAGTCGCACTCGCGGCAGCCCAACGGCATTGTCGCGTTTCCGTAGCTGCCCGCCTTGCACTCCTCACAGTAGCGTCCGGTCGTCCAGTCCTGACATTCGTCGCAAATACCTGGTCCCTAGAGATCCAAAAATTGAAATGCTTACATATGTATGTATGTGTGTGTACAATTTTTATGTTTACCTGTACGCACGTGGAGTGATTGTAACAGCCGCAGTTGGTCCGACAGTCCGGCCCGGTCCAGCCCAGGTTGCATTCGCACTTGTAATCCGGTGCTTCGCTGCAATATCCATTGACACATTTCTCGTAACAGGTCTTGGTACAATTCTCCTTGCCGTCGCCGTTGAAACCGCGCTTACATTGGCAGCTAAAGCTGCCATGTGTATTGGTGCAGAGTGCGTCGGGATGGCAATCGTGAAGGCCGAGATCGCATTCGTCTACGTCTGGGCACTGCGCGTATGCCCAGCCGGACTCGTCCGCTCTTAGGCTGCCGTTTCGATCCTCATTGATGACCGCGCTGCAGTTGACATGCGGCTGATTGAAATCACCCTGCACGCACACGCCGGTAATGGGATTATCCAGGCTGTAGCACCATCCGCAGCTGAGCGAATGTAAGCAACTAGAACAGTTTGAGTGCCGGCTGCAACTCTTGCACTGATCGTTGCCGGTCAGTGAGGAGCTACGTGACGTTACACCCATTAGACCTGCCTGATCCATCCATTCCCGGCATAGGCCGAATTGATACTCAGACGTGTACACGGAGAAGGAGAAGCATTCGCGCGTGGCCTCACACCACACGCACCTACCGCGCTCGTCCAGACACTGAGTACAATTGAAGCGTTGTCGGCACGGGATCGGGCATTGCTCCAGACTCACCACAGCGTTCGGCAATCGGCCGATTCGCGCGCATTTTGCTTCCTCCGTCCACCACTCGCACAGTTTGGTGCTTACACACGACTCGCAGGAGATGTAGTTGGAGCAGTTGGCGCACGTCGATGGCGTGATCGTCAAGTAATGCCATTCGCGTATTGGCTCGCCCCGCTCGTCCCAATCCACATCCGCCGCGCAGCTCTCCGTCTCGTTAGCCGATCGCGGTAGACACTGGTGAGTGATGTCGCACCAGCCGCACGAAGAATCCGTCAGACAATGCAGGCAGTTGCCATACTGATGACAAGAGCCGTTTTGATACGGCTCTAGGTACTCGAATGTAAAGACCTTCGGATTTTCCGTCTTCTTATTATGTGTGATCTCCATCTTGCTCGCATGAGCGTAGCTTGCGGTTACCATCCTTTTCGATTCAAAGTCCAACAGGTAACGGCCTGGTTGCAGCTCCATCGGATGCCCGTCCGCCCATTTTATCGGTATATATTGCGACGTTTCCGCGGTTAAATTGGCGACCAATTCCTGAATACAAGTTAAAGTATTTTATAGATAACTTAATTATAACAGAATTTAGAAAAAATGGTTAAATTTGTTCTCGATCAGTCTTATGCGTTAAGAATATTTCAATTTATAATAAATTTCCTATTGCTATAGATAAATAACATTTATGTAAAATCACAATTGTGTATGTTTCGATATCATTCAGAAGATATTTCTTTTATAATTTGTTAATGTAATTAGATGTCAAGAGATAAAGATAACTCACCAGCTTATCAGGATCGTCGTTTCGCGATACATGAAGCGTCGCACTATTGTAACCGACGCAGATCTTCAGCTGTTCCGCCGCGCTGTCCCAAAAATAATTCGGCGGTCTGAGGAAGCCGGTCAGTCTAGCGATCATCTCACCACCCAACGCCGCTTCCGTTTTCGCGCCTTGCATGGATGGCATAAAGTCGACGGTGGTCGCGTTTACTATGGCAACTGAGTCGGGTTGGCTGAAATTCACTGGCGGCTTATATTTGAGGAAGGTCAAACCCGGTCTCCTGTCCATCTCCCGGCACTCCTCGACTTTGGTGATCTCCGTGCCTTTCGAACCCCACCAGCCTGGTATTTGTGAGGGTGTATCGTCTCGCAAGCCGCACACTCCATAATTGTCGTCCTTGTGATGGCAACGAGCGTTCTGGACGCACCACGTGCACGTACCCAGATTAAGCTTGTTCGAGACGGATTTCCTGCCGCGAAAGTTTGTGCCCCAGCCGCCGCCAGGTTGGCCGTGTATCAGGCAGGAATGACAATCGCCCAAAGCGGGACAAACACCCGGACAGCGCGTCGTTTGCAGATTCGTCGTGCAATTGCTGCCTATCGTCCGACCATAACATATCTGCAATGTGTCAGAAAGAAATTTCAGAAATAAAAATGTGAAAAGCAAGAGAAGAGCGAAGAATATGTTAGCGTGAGATTGATAAATGGGGAATACCTCATCCGCTGAACACCAGCCGCATTCGGGATTTGCCGCGCACTCCATCAGACTCTTGTGTCTCGAGCAAATTTGTTCCGGTTCGATGTAGTCTTCATCTCCCGGCGCCAACATGGGTGGCAAAGTGTACGCGAGAAGATCGGCGTTTACGTTGCCGTGATATCCACCGGCGAGCAATAGAATATTTCCATTACGTACATCCGCCGCGTGTGCGAATACGCCCTGCTGCTTAGGATAACGGGAATCTAAAAAAGTAGAGATCTCATTGTATCAAACGTACAAACACATGTAAAACAATATAAACATTTAAATTTATATATCAAATCAATTAAAAGTGTGCTTTACCTTTATCGATTAAGCCTAGCACATCGTGGCTCACCCAAGCGTGACAACCGAGATGATAAAGATACATCTGATTGTCATAACAGATCTCCTCTTTGTTATGTCTATGAGAATATCCGCCAAACACCACCAGATAATTTCCTGCCGAAATAATGCAGCAATAATTATGTATGCATCTTAAACTTATAAAAAAAAAATGCAACGTAGTACGAATGTATAAATGGAAACAAAAATTCATTACATCGTTACATTTTAATGATTTTATATTAAACAAATGTAATATTTCAAGATAGAAACATATTTAAATAATAGATCTATAAAATACCTATGATGTTACACGTGTGGAACGCGCGTTCTCTCGGCACGTATGTGTCTCGCAAGTGCGCCCTCGGATAATGAATTTCAGACCAGACCTTCCTATCCAATTGAAAGACGAACATTCGATCCGACAATTTGCTGAAACGGGCAACGCTGGCAACCACGCCGCCATATACCAGCAAGGAATTGGTAGCGCGATGATAGACGGTTGAATGTGCCACCACGCGCACGTCGAGTTCCTTACCGCCTCGAGGTCGTACCTCTATCCATCTCTCGCTGGTTGCCGTAGGATCCGCTATAATCGTATTAACATTCTTCAATGTTTCTCCAATTACATGTTTTTATATCTAAACATTTTTGCAAATTCTCATTCACGAAATTTCAAAGTATCAACGAAAGCATTATTGTAGAAAACGCTACTCTTACGTTATAAATAAAAAAATCTATTCGGTTTATGTTTGATATTTATCAAGTGTTATCTATGACTTACATGTACGTGTATAAATTATTAAAATACACATTTTTTAAATCATTCTTCCGTTTTGATAAACTTACATAAATGTAATTTAATTTTATAAAGCCTGGACGAAAATTCTCCATCAATAGTGCTGCCTCCGAACAAGTAGACGTAGTCACCCGCCAAGGTTATAGTGTGCCTCGTGAGTCTGGGAGGATAGAAGGGAGAGTTTTTAGCACGTAAAGTCCATATACGCTTATTCACATTGTAATGCCACAGTTCGTTCGACACGGAACCATCTTCTTCTGGCACTTTTCCTCCATAGATTACAAAGCCATCTAAAAATATAAAAAAATTCTGTTTTTTATTAATTGCTAATATGAGATATTGATATTAATTATATAGTCAAAAGTTTACAATTTCACAATTATAATGATAAATTATAGCAAAGCAAACTAATTTTTAAATAAGTTTTTCTTTCAATTTTGTTATTGACATGTTTATAATAAGTGTAAATAAAATCGTTTGCAGGATGATTTGTTTCTAGCAACTTGAACTGAAGAATACATTCGCAAAAAAAATTTTCAAAAGTTTATTATGTAAGTCCAATTTCCGCATGCGCACAAAAAAAAATAAGAACTTACTTCTCTATGTTATTTTATTTTATATTAATTAGCAATACGAAAAATAAATTTAAAAAGTGACAATTTTATGTCACTTGTGTAAAAAATGCAATGTCTTTTCATCAGTATAGATAGATTATCAACAAATGTTACATGTTGACAGACCTTGATATTTACATGCGGCGTGACCATATCGAGGACCCGGTTTGGGTAAATCGTCAACGGTTGGTTCCGTAGCTTCCTCTTTTAGTGACTCGCTCGTGGTTAATTTAGGATCTATAAATTCTTGCATAAATATATTATCCTCAGCGGGCCCCGCTACCACCTGCTCCTCCCATTTCGCGTTGTCATTTTGTACATCTGTCGCATCATGTTCTCGATATAAGTTTTCCAAGTTTCTGCGGTATCTTTAATAAACAAACACGCAATAGTAATTTATAAGAACTTAACTGTACAAATAAATAGTACAAAATATTTCTCAAAGATTCAAAAACATATAAAACTTTATAATAAAATCCTCATAAATCGTTTCGATTATAAATTGTGATATGTGATTAAATGTCTAATTAAAAAAATATGATTTTTTTTTTCACAACTTATTAGCTTGTGTATCTTTACATGAACAAAATGTAAAAGCAACTTAAAAAATTTCTCCGAATTTTGCAAAGATAATTTTGAAGGAATTAAATTAATGAGTGATGCATCACTTACTACCTTGTCAACATTTGCGAATATCGCGATCTTATATTTCGCGGATGCTTTCTTCTGGGATCGTCGTTTCTATCGATCCTAATGGTGCTTCTACTCTTCTCGTTCTCCTTAGGCATGTTCCTAAACTCTCGCATGCCATGCTCGCGACTGCCGTTAGCGGTCCGATCGAGCAGACCGAAAGTATTATTATCCTTGATGCTATAAAGGACCTTCCAGATTAAAGACGACGTCGGTAGGCCGTATATCTCTTTGGCGCCGGGATTGCGTAATTCGGTAGCGATCAACATAGGATCTAGATATTCGGCGGATGCAGCACCCTCTGCAAATATCGAGCAATCAGTATATTGTAATATAAAATTTTTATAATTGTTTTCTTCTCTGTACACACAATTAGCAATAATAACAGTATTATTTGGTGTATAAGTTTTACACATTTTACCTTTATATTTTCATGTAATAGAATATTATACAATAACAAAATAAATTTTTCCACATGTATGCATCATTATCTTTTGAAAAATTCTGATGTTATAATATTCAAGGTAGAAATGAATGTAAATATCATTTTGCATCATCGTTATTTATAATACATATATACATTAGAAAATATACCAAAGATGAAATAAGGAAATGTGTATATAATAAATTATATTAAAAAATAATGAATTAACTGAAAATTCTTTTATGTGCGTGTAAAGTTTCTGTTATTGATTTATATACTTACCTAATACATTTCCGTATTCGTCTTCCCATTGGCTTGTACTAAACCTGTACACTTCCAAATCGCTGAGAATATAATTAAGATCGTAGCCACCGAAAACGTAAAGTGAGTCTGTTTCCTGAATGTAGACTGCTGTATGAGCTGCGCGTGGTCTTAGTCCACCCTCCGAATGAGAGAGCCAATGCCATCTGCATAAGTAATTAGATTATCTCACGGACTTATTCACATATTTCTCTCTATTATTCGATATAAATGCAATTTAACACATACAATGTTTAAAAAAAAAACACGCATATAATTATACATACATATAACTTTATATTAGGTTGAACGGAAAGTTCGTTCCGTTTTTTGCTAACAGAGGAAGACCGAAAAAACGGCACGAACTTTCCGTTCAACCTAATATTATCATTACATAAAAATAGAAATACGCAAGCTCGCAATTTCGCAAAAACGTACCGATTTCCTTCTGGATGCGTTTTATGCAACGAACAAGATTGTCCGGAGTATCCACTGTTGCATTCACATCTTTTTAAGCCACAGATACCGGCGCCACTGCAATTGTTTGGACAGAGCGCCCGAGAGCAGTCTTTACCTCCCCAATCGTTTTCGCAAAAGCATGTATTGTTGATGCACTTTCCATGATGGGTACAATTGTTTGGGCAATCCGTGACTGAAAACTCTGCATGAAAACCATCTAGGACGTAGTTTGTGTCACTATATAATAATATCAACATCTGCAAAGAAAGATATGTAATTCCATAACATTTTGCAGTAAGACAATACTATTTTATGTTTCTTTTATATTATTATTATTACTAAGTTTTAGTAATATTCTATATATTATAATTTAATTATATAGTACTTTATTATCTTTTTGTATCTGTAAAATTACATGTTATTATTTATTGCAAAAATTTATATAACTTTTGATGTTTACTTCATATAATATATGATATTGATTAATGATATTTATAATGAGATGCTATAAAAACTTGAATCTACAACATGTTATTCACATTGTTAGTGTTGTAGCATATGTACTTACATAACCAGACGATGATGTCACTTGTTGCGGCTCTGTTTTACCACTAAAACTACCTAAAAGCGGGGAACGAAAGGAATCTCCATCGTAAACAAATACATAGTCATAACTGCACTCTGTGCCCATAGTCCGGAAACTTAATGTAATAAATTGGCGACTATGGTTAGCTGCAACAAGAAAAGCAAATTATATGTATGTAAATTTAAAAAAAATTTTAGCTGTAAGGCATCATTTTGTATATTTTATATTATGCATATTAGATGTATCTTAGATCTCCATATATATATTAGATAAGACGGATACTAGAAAGTAAAAAAATGTAGATTTTGCTCAAAAATGCACAAAAATAATTGCATGTGTTTCATCGAAAAAAATAGCTAGGTTTAATGTCTTGTTTATCTGGCAGAATAAAATTTCAATAACTTTAAAAGGATTGCATCTTATTTTTAAACTCTCAATACGCAGTCTCAACACGTTTCTACCTTTAATGAGCCATTCGCAGTGAGAATCTTGAGTGTAATTCGAGCCCATAGGCCCATCGCTGATAATTCCCCATGAGTCTGCAAAGACTTTTCTTGTCTTATCGCACGGCACTTGCTTTGGAGATGGCTGCGGAGCTAGATTGATGTTCCGCAACAAGCAACTCCATATGAAAATCCATGCTGCGGTGGATATCGCCCACCCCATCACGGCGTATACACCTCACTGTCGTCGAACAGCACACAAGTCATCATCCACCCGCATCAAATAATTTCTTGAGCAATTATGTGGTATAGTGCATGCGGAAAAAGTCATATCTGAAAAGGATGTACAAAGTTTATTTTATCCATTGCAAGTGTCGTTAAGTTTTTGCTCATTACAAGATAAGAAACGTCTTCATATATCCAAGAATAAATATACACAGCTGTATTAATATGAGGAGTTAACATTTAATACAATTATTTATAGGATGCGCTCACATATTGTACAATGCACGACATGAGATTAGATCTTGAAAATATATCTTTTTCAAACTTTATTTTCAACATATCTTAACTTTTAGTCTTGAGAGATAATGTACAGTAACATCAACACTAGACATGCACTACATATATGTACCAAAGCATAGTGCAAACTCTACATAACGGAAATATATATAGACAAAATATCATCTCTCTCTGTCTCTCTCTCTCAGACTTGTAATGTCAATATTAGGTATATCCATAATGTATGTTAATATTACATCAGTGATTCAATAATTTATTAAAAGTAGACTTTAAACTGTATCTCTCTTCTTTATTCAAACTTTTAAATAACGTATAAATATCAAGTTTCTTTCAGATGTAATTTTTTTTCATATCACTATAGAATATTGTTTTTAAAAATTGTATCATTAAAACTATTAATGTTTATACTCTGCTCTAAAACTTTTCATCACGTAGTAAAACAAAACTATCGTCAACCAAAACACTCGGTGTCGATCGGCAATTTTTATAAAATATCATAATTAATTATAAAGCGTCCGATATATATATATATATAAGAAAAAAACATTCGCGAACAACGTATGTATTACATGTCGTGCAATATGTTGAAGGACATTCCCGTGAAACGAGCCAGCATCGCGCGAGACGCAAGGTTCTCGTCTCTTGATCAATTTGCAAATAAGCACAAATAAGCAAATGACATACACATACACTCTCGCATATTAGCGTACGCGCACATACACATGTATCCATGAACTTTCCGGACCTATTGCGAGATGACAACGACGATGACGACGACGACGACGACGTCGACGAGCGCAGCATAACAAACTCCTCGGAAGGACTTGGCACTTTTCCTCGGGATTGCGGCAAAAACTCAAATAAATCCTGGGGACGGAGTCACGCTTTCGGCGACGAGACGGTGTCGTACGACATCCTCCGGTGACTGAAAAACGGAAAGAGGGAAA